TTGTAAAAAAAAAAAACTAAACAAAGATATACGTCATACGTTCAGTTTTCAGGGGAGGTAACGTTTTTAAAATTATTATTTTTCAAATAATTGTATACTATTTTAAACAGAAACAGAAAATGACGAAGTATAGCATTTGATTTAGTACAAAATTACGTTGTTAATCCAGTTACGTATCCTAATTAAATAAATAAATAAATTTCAAAAGGAAATGTAATATAAACTATGAGATATACTGTTTATGGAACCTGTGTAGTTCTAATTCCATTTTAGTTATAGATTGCGTACTTTCCAATGTATCTCTGTAGACTGTCTTTACATGACAAACAAAAAACATTTTTTCTAAAGTTAACATTACTGTTTAAATTAAAGCACTCCACACCCAACCCATCGCTAAATTAAGTATTCAAATTCTCAAATGTTATTTAAAAACCTAAGCGAAGCTAGGCAGTATGCCTAGTTATATATATATATATATATATATATATATATATATATATATATATATATATATATATATATATATATATATATATATATATACACACACTACAGCCAAAAACAATGAACGTAACACAATCTGTTTTGTAATTCTTGTAAAAAAAATTTCTTACATAATAATTCCTGGACAAGTCAAATAGGGGAAATAATCACTCTCTTAATATAAATATGTATATATCTACAAATTTAATTATAAATGTCAAAACAAATAAATAATTACTTTAGAATATAATAAAATTGTTTAACACTATTCGTGTTTACAAAATGTTCTTGTCTATAATCAGAATTTAATATATCTTCATCATAAATGCTATTACAGCATAAAGAAAGCTTTTAAAATCAGAGTTGGTATAAAACCACGCTTTTCGATATAGTAGCACAACAATCGGAATAACAATCTACATTTACCTACATTGTCCTACATAATTTATCTGTCTTTTAGTTCAGATCATATATTTTTAATTAACCACTGCTTCTTTGTGTTCTTTAAAGATCATTTTTACTTTCTCGTATATACGAAGTATAGAGAAAGTCTTGTAATCGTGCAAAAAAAAAAAAAATCGAGATTTTTACAAATCTCGACGTTTTACACCTCACTGATACGGAAAAACATAATTTTGCAATCTTGTCCGTATGTCTGTGTGTGTGTGTGTCTGTGTGTCTGTCTGTCCGTGTGTAAACACGATAACTTGAGTACCGTTACTGCTAGGTTGATGAAATTTCATATATAAGTATTTTATCAAAATCGTAGATCCGTATCAACTTTTGAGCGATTTCCGATAACCGGAAGTGGTACTTTTTCTACTTTGAATTTTTCAAAAGCCTATAACTTGAGTACTATTTCAGATAGATAAATGAAATTTCACATGTAAGTAAAAGATCTAATTCTCTACCTTCTGTTAAATTTTGAGTAATTTCCGTTGACTGGAAGTAGTAATTTACGCTACTTCCGATTTCTCAAAAAACTAATGTAAATTTTAAAAGTACTAATAATATTGCGCACTATTATGCGCTTTTTTATTTCGCGTTCACTTGGTGTGCAATTAATTTGTCTACGAGATTTTATTCTATTTTTAAAACTTTAAGTATTTAAAATGGATTAAAAATCATGTCTATAGCCCGAGTTCCCATCCCCTGTTATTTTATATAAAAATATTCGAGAAAGTTTAGGGGAGATCACTCCCGGTTTATTTAACATAGTGATTGGTATGGGTTAGATCACTGTATTGATCATACACATTTTTACTGGTAATTGCAAAAACAATTATCACAGAGTTTTACGTTTAAAAAGCTAATTTACTGGCGGCATGGTACTTTCGTACATCATTACGCGTTTTTCTACATGTACTTAACAGATCAGTTCGGGGTGGGTTGGGGGGGGGGGGGGAGTTCAACTTCATACACCACTGTCCGTTCACTTTAGGTCAATTATCCAACCCAGTGTATACCTAGGTGTGACATTAATGTCGCTCTACACAATTGTGGTGGTGAGGTGTGTGGGGGGGGGGGGGGGATAACCAACTCAGAGTGAACATAGCGTCAGTTTTTAGATGACTGTTCTAAACATACATATATATTACACAAATATATATTACACAAATATATATTACACAAATAGATTTAAATAAGTAGCAGTGGTATTATGACAATATTTTTTTACAGAAGGGTCCATGAGGGAGGGGGGTTGTAACTGTTTCATATAATTCTAATTCAATTATTCGTAATTAAATACATTATACAGTTGCCCTAAACTTTACACCCCTCTTGCCAAGTGGTACTACCGTAGAGGTTTTTTCAACATTGCAATGCATCGTAATGGTTATTTTTAGAATGGCAAGCTGTTAATACGTGTTGTAAACGTAGACACTACTAGACTAGTACAATAATGCTTAATTTCTGCATGAAAAGAAATCTTGTGATTTACATAGACCAAAAATATTTTTTAACAAATATCATTGTTTAAAACTTTGAGTTTAAAAAGTTTCCAAAAAAGGCGCCACTTTGATGAAAATGGCCAGAGGGGGAGCGGACGCTCCCGCTGCTCCCCCCCCCCCCCCCCCCTGCGTACGCTACTGATGGTAGGTAAAACACGGATATTTTAAATGCTGCCTAGTATTTACGAGATAAATGGCCCGTTGAGGAGAGATACAACGGGCGCTAGGTTGATAGTGCTGTCTATCTTCTCTAAACTAAAACCAACCCCCCTCCCCCCCCACACACACACACCCCAAAACATGAAAGAAACACTGGTCGCATTTGTAGATCATACAAACTGAAGGAAGAACCTGGGCGGGGCTTTTTTTTAGATTAGAAAAAGTTCCTCCCTCCGGGGAGGAAAAAGTCTGAAAGAAACACTGGTGTCGCGCTTAGCCACTACCCGAAGAATTGCATGAAAGAAACTCTTGAAAACGTATTTTTATAGAAAATCGTCATTTTTATCGCATTTAAGCTTTATCTGCACGTAGGGTAAGGTGGGGTAATTCCACACACGGGGTAATTCCACACACTATATACTGGATACTCTCTATTTTTAATGAGAGTAAAGTTTAATTAAAAGTTACTATTCCCTGTTTCTAAGAGGTCATTTCTTGTACTTTCTGATACTGTTAGAGAAGCGTTCACCTACATTCAGAGCAAGAATTTTAATTTTATCTGCATCTATCTTCAAACATCCTTAGGTAAGTACAACCCCTGCACTTTTTAAAAAATATATTTTTTTGTCTTATTTTTAATTGTTGTCAATTATTTATTGAATATATGAAAGCTTAATAATTTTTGTTAATAGTAACAGTTAATGATGCTAGATTCAGCCTTTAATTTAGAACAGGAAAGCATATTTTTTTCAATAGTAGGTGTGGGGCAATTCCACACACATGGTGTGGGGCAATTCCATACACTATAGTTTGGAATGTCCCATGTTGCTTTTCATACTCTTTAGAGGATTTAGCTATTATTTTAAACCATTTAAACTGGTTGTGGCTATTCTGTAATTCACAACTCATGATTTAATCTAAAAAAAATACTTGAATAGTACTAGATCTAGTACTATTTTTTTTTAAAAAGACTCTGCTATTAAAGTTACGTAAAATTGCCACAGACTTCTTTTATTTCTTTATCTATTATTATTTTTACTGTACCTATATTATTTATTATAATTTATGCTATATTTAGAGCTAAACATCCCCATACACACATTAGTAATTAGACTTTCTAACATTTAATTTTGTATTTATTTCAGAATGGTCCACAATTATAAACGAATAACTTCGGCCTATGACAGATGAGAGCAGAATTCAGGAGGAAGAAATGGAGACTTTCTCTTCATCCAGTGATGAAGAGTGGTTGCACCCATGCTAAATTGTTTCCAAGGGGAAAAATGTATTTTACAAATTTTTAAATACATGAATTTTAAAATTTTCATAATGTGTGTGGAATTGCCCCACTTGTCATGTTTTTGCAATAAAAGTGAAATATTTAAAAATTGTATTTTATTTTGTGAATTATCTTTATATTTGTTTGCCATCATATAAGTAATGCATGTCTAGTTTTACCCTCAATATTATATTGTGGTAGTGTTGATTTTAGATTTTTTACAAATTTTTTAGAAAAGTAGTGTATGGAATTACCCCGGGTTACCCTAGTTACTGCACATTGATACTAAACACAGTCGAAGTCAAATCCCTAAACCTTGCACCTAATCTCAAACACGAATTAAGTCGTATTTAGGTTGGGTGTGGGGGCTCTGCCCCGAGCATTCCCCCCCCCCCCCCTACCCACACACACTCTATAAAGCACATCTACCGTCCCATTCAACGAAATATACTTTTTATAGAAAACATATTTTTACCTGTGTCCGCCCCCTTCTAAGAAAAAAATTCAAAAATTCTTCTAAATATTTATGTTTTGTTTCAAATTACTAAGGTTTAGTATACCAGTTGGCGACCCCCCCAGGTTGGGAGCATGTGCTCTAAGCAGTTGTAATGTAAATGCATTAAAAAATACTTATTTGAAAATGTACGCGGAGTTAATTCCTATTCGCCTTTTTTTCTATACTCTCGAAGTGACCAATTTTTGTTTTCATTCTCCATATGCTTAGTTGTCCCCGCAAATTTTTACACTAAAACCGTCATATCTAGAGAACCCTTTACCCTGTAAACATAAGTTTGGTATCATTTTGCAACATTTAGTCCCCTTAATACAACCCTGTCGTTAATTTGTCATTTTAATTACTTTAAAAAATTTGTGCAACTAGCTATTTATAGATGTTGATATGCAAAAGCTGCCAGTTAAGGTTAATTTAGTTTTAGATTTGGTCGTTTCAATATCGATATACTTTAAATGTATGTAGATGGCAAGGTAATAATTATACACACACACACACACACATATATATATATATCTATATATATATATATATATATATATATATATATATATATATATATATATATATATCTGTATTATAAATATAATAAATTCGTATTTTATTTTCAATTTTCAACTTACCTGGCAACATAGTAACGCTGTAACCTGTAAACAATTTACTAATAAAGTAAAGTATAATTTTTATTTTAGTATAAAGTTATAAAGTTGTTAAAGTAATATTAAATTATAATTGTTATAATAGTAATTTAGTTAGGCTACTTCTTAGTTCTTAGTAGATCTAATTATACTTTAGATTGTAGAAGTAATTTAGTAAATTATTTATTAAGATCTAGATCTAGCTATATATATATATATTATATAATTATAATATATATATAATAATAATAATTATATAGGCCTAGTACTAATAGTACTATACTATAGTGCAACTATAGTATAGTTATAGCTAGCGAATAGCGATTTAAGTTTTGTTTAGTTTATATTTTTAAATAATTTAGCCTATATATTAATAATATTATACTATATAGGCCTATCTAGTTTATATTTTATATAGGCCTATATCCATTAGGCCTATATATATATTTAAATTATTTATCCATAGCTGTTTACTACTATACTAGTGTATACCTCCCACCTAAGAAAAAATTGTCAATTTTTTCTAAAACAATTCAGGGTATTTCAAGTTTATTTTATCTTTCAACATTTCAAACAATTGGAACATAAGTTTAAAAACTTATTATTAGACCTAGGCCTTTAAAGAGCTGCAACCAAAGCATAGTATGCCTACATCATTATTTTTTGTCATGTCATATTTTTTTGAGTAGGCCTAATAAATTAAAAATAACATGAGAAAAGGGGAAGAGGTGGTTTATTATGAAAAGACTTGTATCATGAAGTGTCCATAAGGTTCAGTAACTTTACATTGATTCAAAATTTTTGTGGATGTCATAAAATGATGACCTCTTAATAGTTGATAGGCTGAACTCAGACTTTCTATTCTAATTCTAGACTCTACATCCTAGGTGAAACTGCCTTTCCTTCAAACCACAGCAACACAAAAAGTCACTATCTTACATATCACATCATGATTCTATTCATTCATTCATTTTGTATCAACACCAAGATTCATTTGTACTAAAGGTCTAAAATACACTCCTAAAAGACACATAATAACTATAGTTATTTTATGTAAGACTGAGAACATAAATTCTTGAAAGCAAAATTATCATAAATCCAAAACAAATTGTATTCTGTTAGTTAACCATAAATTCTGATAAGCCCATGGCTAGGAAAGTCCGTTACTAGTTAGGTATATTGAAATATTTATCAATAACTAGCATGCCCATCCCTGCGCGTTGCCTGACATAATATTTTAGGAGGGTTTCATCAATGTGTTGCCAATCCTATATTTTTAGACTTTTTTTCTAAAACTGGGTTATTTAAATGTAAACAATGCCTGTGTTATATTTCTTGAATCAAATTTATCGGGGGCACTGGTTTACACCTGCACTACAGCATTGGCGCTGAGTATGGACCCTGGCGTGGTATAATCATGAAATCTCTTGTGCCACCTTGTCAATATTATAGGGTGCTTTTTAAAATAAACATAGGCACCATAGTGCTCACAGGAAAGCCGAGGGAGCCAATAGCAACTATAACAACCCATTCTATCCATAGCCTATTGCACTCTTTAAAATGAATGTAGGTGCCATAGTGCTCACTGGAGAGCCCGTGGCGCTAGAGGATGTGTCTGATTGGATATAATAACAATTATTGTTGTCCATTGTGTCTTTAGTGTATAACTTTTTTAAAAATCAAACTTAGGTGTCCAAGTGCTCACAAGGGAGCTCGGGGCGTTTCGGGTCTATCAATCGCTAGAACGGCAGTATCTGCATCTGTTGCTATTTTATAGCTGAATATAATAGTACCCCTTACCCACTATGAAGGGCGCTCAATAAACAGATACCAATTGCTAAGATAACCACTCTGGAACTCTGGGTGCCAAACCATGTATTGACAAAAATCTCACCCTCCCGGGCGACGCCCATAAGAAATTTGTTTTTCACTGAAACCTTCTAGGAAGTATTCTCATCAACTCCTGAAAGTTTCATGGCTCTTGGATGATCAGTGTTAAACTGCATCCGACTTTTATTTTTTATATACTGTATATTGAGAAAAAAATCACAACTTCCCAGGGCGCCGCCCTTGCAAAATTAAAAAAGAATATTTTTGGTGCAGAAACCTCCCCTGGAGTATTCTAATCAACTCCCCAAAGTTCCATGTCAATCGGATGAACTGTGTCAAACTGCAGTCAACTTTTATATACCTTACAAAGAGAATCAAATTGTGCCCTGCCGGGGTGCCACCTCTGTGAATTTGAAATATTTTTCCCGCAGAAACATCCCCAGGAGTATTCTTAACAACTTCCCAAACGTTTCATGGTGATTGGATGAAAAGAGTATTAATGTTTAAAAGACAGACATATAATATAGATTTTCTTTAAATATATTACAGTAGTCATGGGATCCTCTTCTTCAAAATCAACTGTTGTCATTACATCTAATGGAAAAAATAATGCATCTGAAGTCAAGCAACACACGCAGAACCAGGTACACTATATTGATAAGTATTTCCTTCTATTATGTTTGGGGTAGCCCATAAATGATCTCATACTCCTAGAGGGGAGGTGGGGTGGTATTCAGAAATTTGTGACAAAGGGAAGGGCGGGAGCTCATAAAGTATGATGTCACATTTTTTGCATTTTAAAAAAGTACAGTTAGAAGCTGAATTTGTGTCTGTTATTTCATGTTTTAAAAAATGTTTTGGTAAATTGTCATAGAAATGAATTTATTGACTGATCTGAGTACATTTTTTAGAAAGAAATAGATCTTTAACACAAACATTTGAGGGGGTGATGGGGTTGTAGGCTGAAGTGTCTGGCTTTTTCTTACAGTGTGACTATGGAGAGG